AAAATTATATTATACATACCAATAAATCACTTTTTTTATTCGCAATTATATATTCAACTAAAAAAACCATTCTCAAACACATTATTAACTTTTGGAGGGATCTAGTGGCATTTTTACAAAATAATTACAAATTCATAGAAAAATTATATAAAACAAAAAAAACTCTAAGGTTTGACCCTTATAAAAAAATAAATCTTAAATTTTTAATTTTATTAATTTAAATCCTAAATTTTTGATTTCTTTTTAATTAAAACCATTTGCTTATTTCCATTAAAAAAAAATCGAGCGCAAAATAAATATTTTAGTCATTGAACTCAATAAAAATAGATAGTTTAGTCACTTTATGTAACTTACATTGAGTTTAATGACAAAAACATTGTTAAAAATAGGTAAATACTTTAAATTAAAAACAAATTAAAAATTATATTTTAAGTTAACAAAATTCAAAATTCAAAATTTATTTTTTTTATAAAAGTCAAAGGGAAAATTAGTCTGAGGTCTCTCTCCTATTTTTTGTGATAGAAGAGATCCACAATATTATTTTGTGATGTCTAAAGTCCCTTAACCCTACACCCATATAACACAGAGAAAATTCACTCTCTCGCTTTCTCTTTCAAGCCGTCAAAGGAAGCATAGTTTTCAGCTGGCAAGATCTCTCTCTTTAGCTCTACGTTTCTTTGCGTCGGCGAGCGCGAGAAGTTGGATTCGGCGGCAGTGGCATCACCGGAATCTGTGTTGACCCCAGCTTCACGTCTCTCTCTCCTGTACTACCGTTTTGCCCTCATCATCGTCGTCTTTATCCTCACCAACCCATTCACTTTCTTCATCGGTAATGCGAAGAGTCAAATCAACCACAGTGGCCAAGACAGCGACGGCAACACCAACTTGCCACTCGTCACACACACACATACACACATACACATACAAATACACATACACTTTCTCTCTCTCTCTTCCTCACTGTTTCTCTCATCACAATCTCACTCTCTCGATCTCAGTTGATCTCCCCAGCATCCTCACATCCACTGCACCAGGCTCTACCGGATTCGAGATCTAACCGCCGTGGACTGAGATTTGAGTGTGGTGTTGATGATCCTTCCTTGCTGTGGCGGTGTCATAGCCCTAGGAGAAAAAAAATTTCTCTGGAGAGAAGGGAAGGCCAGAGAAATTTTCTGAATAATGAGTCAGAGAAATTTGAAAAACCAGAGAAATTTGAAAAACCAGAGAAATTCTTCCTAGAATTTATAGCGATCCAAGTTTTACCCCGACCTTTGTTGTGTTCCGGACTCGGGTTTCGTGATTGTATGTTGTTGTCTATATCATATTTCCATCATTCAATTCTTTGTATTTGAGTTTTGGGACGTGTTGGGTGAGTTTGGAACAGGTTGGTTGTGAGTTAGTACAAGTGGTTGCTGTCCAGATTTTGGCCTCTTTGCTCGAGCGAGCCTTGGGTGTTTGTCTCTTCGCTCGAGCGTGCGTCTGCGTCTCTGTAAAGACCTGAAGGTTGGTATTCTTCGCTCGAGCGAGCCCTGTGTTTTGTGTTCCTTCGCTCGAGCGAGCACTCTTGCGCTCAAGCGTGCGTCTGCGTGAGTGGCAGACCTGAAGCTTCGCATTGTTCACTCGAGTGATGCTTCTTGCGCTCGAGTGAGATCTTTTGTTGTGTCTGGTCGCTCGAGCGACAAGTCCTTCGCTCAAGCGAGCCTCGCATATATTAGTTCGCAGCAGCGTGATTTTATATAACTTTTTGATCTTTTCCTTCTTTAAAACCCTAGATCGGCAACTCTTCTCTCCAAACTCTCTCTCTCTCTACAAATACTCTAGGGCCCTTCTACCCTACTCTCTTTGTTAAAAAGCTAGAGCATTGCGTGGGCTATCTTTTGATCCGAAAAAGTTTGAATTTGGAGCATCTTGGGTTTCTCTTTTCATCTCCTTTGAGTTTCTCCATTTGAGGTAGGGATAATCTACTCCTTAATGTGAGTTTTGACATAAATATTGGTCATTTTGTATAAATGGTGGGATTTGAAAATTTTGGGTAAAGTTAGGGTTGAGTTTGAAATTATAAAAGAATGGTTTCTTATTGTTGGGTTCCATATGTATATAGGGTCTTGGAAATGGGGTTGTTTGTGTATAATTGGTGACATTTGGCATTGGGTGCAATTTTTGAGCAAAGGGAAAAATGCCCTAATTGGGATTAAATGGATTACTTGTTTAAATAATGAAATCAACTGTGGAAATATGAAATTGGTTTGGAAATTGTGAAAGTGGAGGAAATTGTGATTAAATGGTGTTGTTGGATTGATAAATCACTCACCTGTGGAAAATGTGATAATTTATCTGTTTGATATATTTATTTATCTGTGTAGAAATAACTGTTTTGAGCTATCGGTGGAGGATAGCCATGATTGTTGTAGAAACTACATGATGATTAGGTGAATTGAAACTAATCAATTGAAATATATCATTGAATATGACGGTTGTATATAAACATTGAATACGTGATTGAATTGGTCATTGTATATGACAACGTGTTTAAATACATTGTATATGTATCTTGTTTGGGAGGAGATATGGGATGTACTCCATTGTTTGGGAGGAGATAGGGGATGTAATCCATTGTTGGGAGGAGATAGGGGATAGACTCCATTGATAATTAAGTTGGCTGGAGTGTCCAGGGTGAAAGTCTCGAAACCTTATATATATTTGGGTGCCAATGGAAGTGTATGAATGATGTTTACGATTGAAGTGTTGATAATGTGAGTTGTAGTCTCATTTTGAAATGTTTAGATATCAATGAACTATGTCTCCATTGATAATTAAGTTAGCCAGAGTGTCCAGGGTGAAAGTCCCAAAATCTTAAATATGTTTGAATGACGTTGATGATTGAATTGTTGATAATACGAGTTGTAGTCTCATTTTGAATTTTTTGGATAAATAATGAACCATGTCTTTGAATTGATTTGGATAAATAAATGGAAGCGGATTGAAATATGGTTGTAATTGTTATTGGGCTATGGAATGGGTGTAAGTTGGTTTACAAGTGTTAACCATTTGTCGAATGCTAATATTTTAGTTATTTCTCATATTTGGTTTAGCATATCTCTACTGGGCTTTGGCTCACCCTACTTGGGACACCATTTTCAGGTACAAGTGACATGCCGCCTCCAAGGTCTTCGCTTGGGAGGTTTAGAAGTTGAAGGCTCCATTTTGTTATTTTTGTTTTGGTGATTACATGTAAATTCAAGCCGAGGGTTTTATATGTAAAGAGTTAGCACTCTTCTTTTGTTGTAACCAAGTTATTACTTGGAAAGATGTAAGCCCGCTGGGCATTCATTTAGTTGATAACATGTACTATCATTTGTAAGAAGCCTCTGATGAATGAAAATATAATATTTCTTTATGTTTATGGATCTTATGCATAATTGTCATATGTCTTATTTTGAGGGCGTTACATAAATTGTAAAAACAGAATTTCTCTGGTGAGATTTTCTCTGTGAAGTCAAATTTTCTCTGGATTTGATTTATACTTTTCAACTCTACCACTAATGTTTCGTTTCAGTTTCTTAGGAAACGGAAACATTTTTGTTGTTTTGATGGAAAAGAACCGAATTTTGTTTCTTGGTTGTACTCAGTGCAATAATTTTGTGTATGATCTATCTGGTGTGCACATTTCTCTTTGCATCAGTGCTGCTGGTGGTGGTATCGTTGTTTTGCCCCTTTTTTTTTTTTTTTTTTTTTTGAGTTAAAAACCATAACTGTTAGTTCTTTACATAATTTGGAAATTTCTCTAGAGAGAAACAAAGAATTTCTCTAAGTTTGAGAGAATTTCTCTAGATAGAATTTCTCTTGGAAATCTAGAAAAATTCTCTAGATCAAATTGAGGGACCTTAGACATTATGACAATATTAGATGTCCTTTATGCTATAAAATCTTAATATTAAGAATCCTAAAAAAAAAAAAAAAAACTAAAATCAAACCCTGCGAATTTTCATAATTATCTCAAAAATTTAAATTTTAATTATTAATATTATAAAATTTATCACTGATCGAAAATTATTTATAAAAATTTATATAGAATTATAATTGTCTTTTTTTTTCAACTCATAAAAAAAATACCAAATGGGTATGATTGATTAATATTTATGGGGCCTAAAAAAATAATAAAGGTAAATTATACTTACATTTTTTAAGATTTGAGTTTAATACATATTATCACTTGACTTTTGGGAAATTACACTGATCCTCTGTTATTATAATTATTTAGATGAAATTAACGTTGATATCAAAAAGACATTGAATTTATACGCTATTTTATCTTGCTTTGCTTTACTTTACTTCTTCTATTTTTTTTTCTTTACTTTTTTTTTAAATGTAATTTCTTATATTTTCTTCTTAGAATTGTTGCAACATCTCTTTTTAGTAAAAAAATTAAAAAGTCACTAAAAAAATTAAAAACCAACAGCTTATACTAAAGAGTCAAAGATTCTTTTTTCTCTTTTACTTTTTGCACATCTTTTTGTAAAAAAAAATCTTAAACATATTTATTTTTTTATATCATATTTTAATCAAAAAATTATTAAAAAAAAAATATTCTCAAACGAGACCTAAGTAAAAATTTATAAAATGAAACTATTAATTATAAGAATAGGAATATAATTTTTCAAATATCAAAAATAATATATATTAAATTTAAATTTTAGGTGTGTCAGTGTAATTTATCCAACAACAATGATTCATCCCCCTTTTCCTCCCACCCCCTTTGACCCCCTCTCTCTCATTGGTTACATTTCTTTTTCTTTTTCTTTTTCTTTTTTTTCCTGCTCCTCCAATCACCACCCGCCACGTGACAAAGGGGGTGAGGAGGTGACCCCCAAAAGGGGTCCCAAGCATTATTCTTTATCCAAATAATAAATAAATAAAAAACAATAATCCATGAATGAAAGGCAGCCCGAAACTCTTTCAAATCTCTCTCTATATAAACTGCCCCACTCACTCCCTTTCTGTGTCTGTGTCTCTCTCTCTCTCTCTCTCTGTTTCTTCAAAACATCACATTCTGATTCAGCTGAACATTTCCACAAACACTTCGCCACACTCTTTGACAGAACAACCCATCACTCCCCAAAACCCTACAATTTCTCAGTCCTGATCGTCTTTTTCCGGCATGTTACTCCGGCACCATCCAATACCCATCTCCCCGGCGTCAAATTTTCCTAGTTAAATGCCCCCAAAAGCCCATAATTCTCACCCAACCCAACTGTTTTCAACAATGTTCTTTGCCTGCCTTTGATTCTCTCAAATACCCACCAATCTCATCACAACCACAACCCATTTGTTAATTTCAGTCTTCAATGGCTGATTCATCTTCAACTCCTCTTTCATTCACTGAAGATGTGGCTGTGAAAGCCGTGAACAAGCGATACGAAGGTCTAGTCACGGTTCGAACCAAGGCGATCAAAGGGAAAGGAGCTTGGTACTGGGCACATTTCGAACCCATTTTGATTCGAAACCCAGAGACAACTCTTCCAAAGGCTGTCAAGCTCAAATGCACTCTCTGCGACTCTGCTTTTTCGGCTTCGAACCCATCTCGCACTGCTTCGGAGCATCTCAAGAGAGGGACTTGCCCCAATTTCACTTCCTTTTTGAAACCCATTTCGTCAATACCAGTCTCGCAACTGCCTCCTTTGTCTTCTCCTCCTCCTTCTCAGAATCATCGGAAGCGAAATTCGCAACATACCAACACTTCTTCGTCACGGTTTAGCGGCGTATTGGGTTACACCCCAGTACAGTTTGAGCGAAACCCAGTTGGTTCTGTGAGTCCTACTGGGCTGAATCAACAGAATTTGGTTTTATCGGGTGGAAAAGAAGATTTGGGTGCTTTGGCAATGTTGGAAGATAGTGTGAAGAAGCTCAAGAGCCCCAAATCTTCGCCTGGTCCAGCTTTGAGTAAGTGCCAGGTTGATTCGGCATTCGATTTTCTTGCAGATTGGTTCTATGAGTCTTGTGGGTCGGTTTCAATTTCGAGCCTTGAGCACCCAAAGTTCAAAGCTTTTCTTAACCAGGTCGGCTTGCCTGCCTTGTCCCGGCGGGAGTTTTCGTGTGCAAGGCTTGATACGAAATTTGGTGAAGCGAAAAAGGAGTCAGAAGCTAGAATTAGAGAGGCTATGTTCTTCCAAGTTGCTTCTGATGGGTGGAAGAGCAAGAATTGTAGCCATGGGGAAGAGAATTTAGTCAAGTTTATGGTAAATCTTCCAAATGGGACTAGTGTCTTCCAGAAGGCGGTACTTACTGGTGGTTCTGTACCGTCGAAGTATGCAGAGGAGATTTTGTGGGATGCGATAACAGATATATGTGGAAGTGTTGTGCATAGATGTGTAGGTATAGTTTCTGATAAGTATAACGCTAAAGCATTGAGGAATTTGGAGATTCAGAATCTTTGGATGGTTAATTTATCTTGTCAGCTTCAGGGGTTTATTAGTTTGATAAAAGATTTTATCAAAGAGCTTCCACTTTTTAAGGCCGTCACTGATAATTGCTTGAAGATTGCGAATGTTTTTAATAGTAAGTCTCGGGTTAGGAATAGTTTCCACAAGTTTCGGTCAGAGGATGTTGAGCTTCCTGGGTTGATTAGAGTTCCTCCACCTAAATGTGATAACGGGAAGAACTTTGCTTCCGTCATTGTGATGCTGGAGGATATATTGAGCTGTGCTCAGGTTCTTCATCTAGTAGTGTTGGATAATTCGTATAAGGTGGTATGTGCGGAGGATCCAATGGCAAGGGAAGTTGCGGCGATAATTCAAGATGTGGGCTTTTGGAATGACTTGGACGCTGTTCATTCACTAGTGAAACTGATTAGAGGCATGGCTGAAGAGATTGAGGCTGAGAAGCCATTAGTTGGGCAATGCCTTCCACTTTGGGAAGAATTGAAGAGAAAAGTGAAGGACTGGTGTGCCAAATTCAGGGTGGCTGAATGTCCTGTTGAGAAGATTGTTGAAAAGAGATTTAAGAAAAATTACCACCCGGCATGGTCAGCTGCTTTTATTCTCGACCCACAATACTTGATGAGGGATGCAAGCGGAAAATACCTTCCGCCATTCAAGTGCTTGACACTCGAGCAAGAGAAGGATGTGGAAAGGCTTATAACTCGATTGGTTTCAAGGGACGAGGCTCATATTGCGTTGATGGAACTCATGAAATGGAGATCAGAAGGGCTAGACCCATTATATGCACAGGCAGTTCAGGTAAAACAGCGAGACCCTTTGACAGGAAAGATGAAAATTGCAAACCCTCAAAGCAGTAGATTAGTGTGGGAGACTTGTCTAAAAGAGTTTAAGTTGTTGGGGAATGTTGCAGTGAGGCTTCTCTTCCTTCATGCTACCTCATTTGGGTTTAAGTGCAATTGGTCATCTATGAGATGGGTTTGTGTGCAACGAAACTCAAGCGTGGGCCTGGATAGGGCTCAGAAAATGATTTTTATTGCTGCTCATGCAAAGCTTGAAAGGCGTGATTTTTCGAGTGATGAAGAAAAGGACGCAGAGTTGTTAGCAATGACAAGCAGTGAGGATGGTGACATGATCAATGAGGCCTTTGCAGATGCATCCTCGGTGTAATGTTTTCTTTTTTAAGTCCTGTAAACTTCTGAAACCGTAAGATTTATTGAATTCTTTTTTACTTTGTCTTTTTTTTTTTTGTCCTTGTTTACTTTTGTTAGAAGATTTTGGAGGGGTAGGGTTTGCAGGAAAGGAGGGAAACTTGAGCAATGTATTACTGGAAATTGAATGGCCACATGATTCAAATGAATCATTAGGCTGGTATGGTTGGAGGTTCTTGATTTTGTAGAGACACTCATTCTTGTTTATAAAAAACATGGAGTACGTTGTAACACTATGGTTGTTAGAGTAATTCGTTATAAACAATATTTATGGTTTTTTTTCTGTTTAAACCTTGTGTCTGTGCTTTGTTTACGAATTGGGAATACCATTTCCTGAGTTGGTTAAGTGTTTCTTGTTGAATTGATGAAACTGTTGCCTAGCATTACATTTTTTTGTTCTCGTGGATTCTACAGAGAAGTAAGTTGAAATTTTGAATATAGGATTTGTGGGCACTAATTATTAGTGCCTCCACCCTCTTTCCTGAAGCTTGCTATTGAATGATGCTCTATTAAGACATTCAGAGAGAGAGAGAGACAGTGACAATATCATGCTTATTTGCACAGAAGGTGGACTGATTTTCTCATATTAGAAATCATGCTTTCAAAGCTAATAGCATTATTTATACATCTTTCAAATTCAAATGCTTAGTTATTGATTGGTTTTTTGTATGACCATGCCAAATTGCTATTCCGTTGCCTTTTCTGTTATTAACACATGAGTGATAATCAAAGGTGAAAGTGACATTCTTCACCTGGATGCTATTAAGAGTTTGCCAAACAGCTTTTCTACTCTTCCCACCTTTGAAATTCATTTATTGGGAGGTACAAGGGTTTGTTTTCTAACTGAGGTAAACAGTATATTGAGCTTCCTAGCATGAGACTGCATGTTCGAGTTTGAAAGCAGCCACTTTGTGCAAATAATGCCAAGGGTTGGGTTTGTCTCCAATTTTACCCCTTCTGGTGCCCTCAATTAATGGGGACTAACACTTGTAATGTCCTATTTAATTCAAGCCATAATTAAAGTTGCATGACCTACCTTCTGATTTATTTAAATTCTAAAGAGTTGTTCCTGCATGTGTTCAGTTGTCCTCTTGTTCTTAGAAATTTTGCGGACCCATTTCTAGCTGCTTATTTTCTACAAATTTAACTATTCCTTTGTTTCCTTCAAAAAAAAATTAGTGGATGAGTTCTTGAAATTCTATGTACACATGGGCCATTTTTTGTGGGCATTGCAGACTTAGTGCTGTAAATGGGACTGTTCTTTCGAATCTTGCTCAGATCATTTTCTACAGCCTTATGAAAACTATTACCTGTTACATTAGCTCTCTTTTATTATTATTTTCTTGTTTGATGCCTATGAGCAAGAAACACAGATATGTTTTGCACTGGAGTTGGCCACAATAATTACTTGGTTGAATCTTGAACTTGTTTAGTTAGCTCGAAAAACAAGTTTCAAAAGGATACAAAAATATGTATTGGTTTGAATTTTTGAAAGTATTTTTTTTTGCCACAGTAGGAGTTTCTTGAACTGGTTGGGTTGATGGCAAACCAGACTTGATTATCACATGGGTCAACCTTGGAAGGTCGAAGAGCAGATCTTTGTAGTTAAACAAGCACCACTATGGATATTTTCTGGAATGTCTGTCTACAAGATGGAGCCCCACCATGAAATTGGATGTCCATCTTAGTGCTTCATTGCTTTGGTTGTCATGGTCAAATAGAAATGAGGATTAAAGATCATTCTTTCCCATCTGTTGGCGGATCCAACTTTGCAGTACGTTAGTGCAGGGTTCTAAGGGGCAACATCCACTTGCCCGAAGGTGGGGGTTCAGGAGGTTGCCCCCAACCCGAATTTTGGAGTTCTAGTACTTTTGGTATTTCACAGTTCTGCACTGTTGCCTTAATACTATGTATTTATAGTTGAAGTGACACATGTCTGTATATTGTATGTATTGTAACTTTTTCCCGATCATATTAAAACCACAACCACCGTGGATGTAGCCCTATATTGGGTGAACCACATAATTTTTTGTGCTTTTGTGTACTTGATTTAGATTGTTGTTTGTGCTTCGTGTCTCGCCAATTCTAGTTAGGTGTATCAATTCTTAACAATTACCTCTCTCTTCCTCTACCCACCTCTCTGTTTAGTTATTTGTTTATTTTTGATAAGTTTTTAACCCCATCATCTTTGGCTAACGTCTTAACTCTCTTTGTTCTCAGGCTGGGCCCGCTCTTTTGAATTTTTATCCTCACGTTGAGAAACTGGAGTTTTGCATTGTCATCAATTAGAGTTGCTATGATTGCTAAAAGGTCTTGAGCAAACTGGAAGCAAGAGAGGCTGTTGACATGGCTGAAAGGATTGAGCAACGAACTTGGGCTGATTTTCATGCTGGGAGCATCTTTGACTTATTTCAAGAGGTTGGTGTTAATAGTCGCGGTGCTGTTATTTTCTTTGTTTTATTTTGTACACATACATATGCATATTGGTGATTTATAGCATTACTGATTCTTAATACAACCATCCTCGCTTATATTTGATCTGAATTGTTTTCGTATAATAGCTGAGGCCCTAAATCATCTTTGCTCATTTGTTTGAGGTTTCAGCCATTTTAAGCATAATCCTTTTGGCTCTATACTTCAACATCCTCTGCCTTTTGCTTTGAGAATGGGTTGGTTCCACTATCAGCTAACAATGGGGTATTTGTTAGGATGCAAAACACACATATACACATACAAAAATGGAGTTATTTACTGAACCAAGTTGTTTGAAAACTTATTTTCCAAACCCATGTCGTTTCATGTAGTCGTGTGCAGTCTTATGGTGTGTTTGGTTGGAGGATTTGGGGAGGGATTTGGAAAGGGAAAGGGAAAAGATGTGTGAAACTAGGTGAAATTTAGGCATGTTTTATTCATATTTCACCTACCTTTTCCATTTCCCTTTCCAAATCCCTCCTCAAATCTCTCAACCAAACACAACATTAAAGTTGTGTTTTCAAAACACGATATTAAAAGTTTATATAATATGTTAATTGAAGTTGTCTTTTGAAAACATGACTTTACAAAACAATGTGAGTTTGGGAAATAAGTTCAGAAGCACTTAAGTTTTGAGAATTTTGTTCTGAAAAGAAGTGCGTTTGGTAAACAAAAAAAACTCCATAAAAATGTATACAGTAGTATGCTCAAAAGTCAAAGCATGTATGTTTTGATAAATTCAAAATTCAGGCAATGCAGTACCTGACAGGTAAAATGTTCTAGTCTGCTAGACAAGTTAATAATGATCCATGTTAGGAAAGGAATTGAAAAGAGGATCGGTACAAGGGATGGAAGAAAAAGTAGGAGAGAGAAGAAAAAAATATACACAAATGTAGGGCAGCATAGCATATGGTGTCTTTTCTTGGGCATTATCCTTTGCCTCTAATTATAGATGTAAAGTAGTGATTCTTGTTTTGGTATTCAATCACTCCTTACTATGCTCCTTTGAATAGATCTCAATAGATTTTCCTGGAAACCGTATCCATCATTTCCTCTTATCATAGAACACCATTATCAAGCATATCGAACTTTGATCTACGGCATCTTGTCTTTCTCCCTCTTATGTTTTTCTAGATTCATTGATAAGCAGTACAAACCAAGTGGGTATGCAAGTAAAAAGTGAAAAATCAAATGGGTTCTAGCTGTTTTGGTTGTGTGAACTGTGAAGCGAGTAGTAGAGTAGAATCAGTGTAATTTTAAATTTTGTTTTGATATTTGCAGCAACTAAAATTCGGTGGAGCCTTGAAAGACAGCGGATATTGTCGGCAAGGCTGACTAATACTGACTGCTCACCAACCAGAGGAATGAGGATAAAGCTTTTTCGCTCGTATGGTATGTCTTCATTGTTCATTCCACTCATGTTTTTTGTAAAAGGGGAAAGAGATACAATGATTAGTATTGGACACCACTCTCTTTATACAGGAATCTTCCTCTTTTAATGCCTTCTCATAATTAACCACCTCTCTTCTTCTTTTTTTCATCTTTCTTTTATTTCCACTTATTCAACCCTTGATTGTTTTTGAATTTGAACATAAGGATGTAATGTAAGTCATAATTGTAATTCGTTGGTATATTTTTCAAACATTTCTTGTTTTTGAATTTGAACACCGTTGTAAGTAAGAAATAACTTTTTTATCCTAATAATGGTATGCTCATCTGATTTTGACTGTGCACTGACGGCGAAACTCCTTGGTATTAGTGGGTATATTTGTCACCCCTTGTGACCCATATATTTTTCGCCCCTTGATTGTTTTCGAATTTCAACACCATTGTAAGTAAGGAATGTATAGGAATTGGTGAGTACTTTTTTCACTAATTGATTGTTTTCGAATTGGAAACCTCTAGTCATAGGTAATATATGTATATATATATATAGAAAACACAATCATCTTTATGGATGTTTTGTTTTAAAACGAAAATTTCACATTAAGCCACATCATTTTGTACATTAATCCTAGTTTAATTTTATGTTTGTATATCGTTACTCATTTGAATTTGAACACCATTGTAAGGAATACAAGACACAAATGGAATTGGTGGGTATATTCTTCACCCCTTGTGATCTTTCTATTAACTCTATTTTCCCAATTGGAAAATACTATGGATCCTAAATAATCTATCAAATTTTCTACTTAAACTTTCACATGGTGTGGGATCTACACATGGGTGGATTCCTAATGTTGTGTTTGCTTGTGGAATTTGAGAAGAGATTTGGAAAGGGAATGGGAAAGATAGGTGAAATGTGAATAAAATATATCTATATTTCACCTAGTTTCACACACATTTTTCTTTTCATTTTTCAAATCCCTTTCTAAATCCTCCAATCAAAAAGAGTGTAAGTGATTTGGAATTAGACATTAATGCAATGCCTTAATTATGAGTATTGGCATTGTCAAGACATCAATGTAGCTGCTTAAGTGTGGGCTTTGGCTTAAGCTGTCATTATGTATGCATTGATGACTTTTAGCAATCTACTTTATAAGCATCCATCAATTCATTCTTTTTATAAATAAATAAACCTAAAAATGATATTTGTATTCAAGAAAATACAAACTAGAAAACTATTTGATCACATGCAATTCTACTTTACAGTGTGCAATTTAGCACTTTCTTTTTTCCCCATGTTTTGTATAAATTTGTCTTAAAAGTCACCTCTTCTTGCATTTTCCCCACCAACCCTTGACTTGATTGGTGGTTGTTTACTTTAAATGGCTTCCATATAAATAACTAATATATAGCTAATAAAAGTCTAGTTAACCATAATTTGAATACAGAATGATGTGGCATCTTATAATCACTTCATTTACAGTGAAAACACCTATCATTATTTTTATAATTTCACAAATGTCACTCACATCATTCATGTTAAAAGTATGAATTGTGTACAAAAATTTTATTAGTGTATTATTTTTTTGTAAGGTATTATATTCTCTCCTTTCTTTTTTTCTTGTCCGAAATCTCTTTTTTGCTACACGATTAGATTTCTCTCTAGTTTGATCATGTGATATAGAGGAATTTCAAAATAAGAGAACAAAACAAAACAAGAAAAAAGAAAAGAGAAGGGGGAGACAAGTGATCCTCAACCGATCATACCTATACCCATAACTCCTGATTTAAATATTACATAAAAGTATTAGTGTTAGTTACATGTTTGTTTTCTTTTGTCTCCCAACCAATTTTGTCATATCTCACGAAAGTTTTCTCTATTGTAAAATGAAAGAAAATTATCTCAAATATTTTATGTCAAATCAAATTGGCCCTTTGAAACTCTATACTCAAAAGTAGATGTAACCGGATTGATTTTTAAACAAATCAATAAATTATTTTGGAGCATAATGGCCAAATATCGACGGAGAAAATATAGTAGAATCTATTAATTACTATAAAATTCAAAATAACTCGTTTCTTTTTTTTTGGCAAAGAATGGATTCTTTCGATTATTTTTTAATAAGTAATTTTTTTGATGAAAATTCATCTGAAGAATAGATCATAAAAAAATAACAAATCAGTCATAAATATAGGACAATGAGACCTATCACATGAGAGTATGCTCTACTCATAATAAAATCTCACCGTATTGTCATTTATGTTTTCCATAATTAGTTTGGAGTTTATAAAATTATTGTTATTAAACTGCAAAAATATTGATATTTCACAACAAAAAAATTAATAATAATAATGATTACTCCCATACAGTCTCCACTCAAATTCCTCTAATTATCATTATCATTTGCAATAATGACTAGGAACCTAATTATAGTTTTCTACTCTTATAGTAATTACAATTTGTACTGAAAATAAAAGAGGGCCATGTAGTGTACCTAAACATATTATTATATAGTAATACTTTAATGACACTTTCTTCACATATGTCCACAACTAATGATCTAAGAGAATCAAAATTATGTGTTCCAAGGCTAGGGATTGTATCAAGGTTAATGGTTAAGTTGACAATTGAGTGTTGCTTATGCTGGTTTAGTGGGGATAGTCTCTCCAATTACAGGGTGCTAATCATGGTTCTTTTTATTTTCTTTCAATTGTTTTTCATTTTTCTCTCTCTTGGGCGAGGGGACAAGGGAATGGAATTTGGAGACTCAAATCCGAATATTAAGCTTAATTGACCATTGGGTGTGTATTTTGACGAACTGAATAAGAGTAGACTGTAATACAATAGATTGTTAGTGTTAAATAAATACTTTTTGAACTATTTGACTAAAAATTATGTGTGTTTGACTATTAATTTGACTTTTTACCAAACTAATCAAACGATGGATTAGTAAATTTATTGGATATGGAATCCAATCTCACACCCTCAATCCCATGCAATAAACGGCTTATATTTATTTAGACGAACATTTGAGAACTAGCTTAAAAAGTCACTTCTTTTTTTTAAAAAAAAAATTAGCTTTTATGATTTTTTAAAATTTTGTATCATTTTTTTAAAACTTTTCGGTCCATCTAATATAGAAGAATCTAAAAAATAATTTAAAAGTTTTAAAAAAATTGTTTTTAGTGGACTTCTTTTCATAATTTTTTATTTTTTATTTTTTATTTACTTTTCTAGTTTTTCTAATTGAATAGATTCTAAAAATCTAATTTTTAAATATAAAAATAAAAAATTTACTAAAAATTTTATAAAAAAAATCACTACAAAAGTCAATCTCAAACAATGCTTAAATATTAGCATAATATAATCATTTACTTTGGATTGTGGTCATAAGATAATCATTTGAATTAGCTCAGCATTATGATTAAGAGATTGACAAAAGGCAAATTTAGCTAAAACTCTTTTATTAGATCCTTATTTAATGAAAATAATAATCTAATTTATTATGTTTTATAAATCTCCTAAAAAGTAGGTGCATAATTGAGAAATGATAAAGTAAAATTTCTTTATTTTTTTATTTTTTCTTCTTTTGACAATATTGTCCATGCATATATATCTCATAGAACTCTTTTGAAGATGAACACTTTTGTTTTATTTTATACAAGTTTAAAACTGTTATGCATGTATATTTTTGATTAGTTCATCTAGCATGTACTTTGTTTTTTCGTAACAATAAAATGTTATTGTGAACCAAAATAACATGTTACTGTAAAACAAAGTAACATGTTACTGTCAAATAGAATAATATTGTTGGCTACATATTTTGTATAAAGTCAATCACAGTTCAACACATAATAGGTTTAGGGTAATACGGGAAGACAACTCAAACCTTCGATCGTGATCGTACACGTGGCAGTTAGTATTGGTTTTCATAAGATCTGCGTAGTACTGGATCAGTAAAGAGATGCAAAGTGATGTGGCTTCAACGATTACTCACATTTAAATTCAAAATCAGGAGGGAAGCTTAATTGCAGGTATTGGCATAGTGGAGCTAACTATAAGGCAACATGATCAGCGATCATGAAGGAACGGTTCGACAGTTAGAAGTGCAGTTCGATGGTTATCCTTAAGAAGTATAAATAGCAGTGAAGGCCCCAGAAAAAGCCCCAGACTCAGATCCAAAGAAACCAGTTTTATCTACTTTATTTCCTTTCCAGTTTTACATTTCCTGTTCTTTGTATTTTTATACTTTAAAATTCCTACACTACACTTCGTTCATAGGAGTAGTTTTCAAGTAGCTTGTTGTTGTAAATCTCTACAAAGCTGATTCAGATCTTTGTAAGTCTTTCATTTTACTTAATGAAATACTACAACTGTTCTTTATTTAATCATTGTTTGTTTAATTCTCCTAAACAAAGCCACCAGAAAAAGTCTTCTTCATTGAGGCTAAAAAAACTAAAACACAATCGTCTGATAATTGGTTGGAAATTAACATTCTGTAAGGACTGATTGATCCTTACTGGCACACTCACAATTACAAAAATAACCTTCGAAAGCCAAAAAAGCCAACATATATTTTTGGCATGCCCAGTGAGACTAATTGAAATGGCTAGACGTAGGAGACAAGGAGAAAATGAACGCTTGGAAAAAGGCATGGAAGGAGAGGTAGATATACCTAGTACAGAGGATAATGTGATAACACATCTTGTGGAAACACCCATTTTATCAGATCCTATGGTCGAACAGACCAGCACTTCGGAACCAGTACCACATATTCATAATATTGGACGAGGCCAAGGAATTGGACCATCCACTGTTCCATCTACTCAGTCAATGAATCCATGGGGAGGCCTAGTAGATGCCATGGGACAACAGTTAATGAACACAATGGAGAGATGGGCAACATCCTTTTTGGATTGAATGAATGCTCATCAACCAACTAATGTAAGGCATATAGGGGAAAATTCAAATGTCCCTCAGCAAAGATTGGCTAGAGACAAACAGCCTATGCAGAGTAATGGGTATACTAATGGTCAAACTAGTAACCAAAATCATGAAAGACCACCACCTTAGTCTTGATATGAGCCTCTTTCGAGGTCTATGGCAAATCAAAATGCCTTATTACTTAACAGTGAAGCCATGTAAATTGGTGGATCTGGCCCAACACAAGATAATGGTGTAAAGATGGTTCCAAATCCCATGTTCGAAGCCATACCTGGCACGAGGGGGTTCACTAATCCTTTGTTCGAATTTAT